TTCAATATCAAAGATGGTTTCGAAGCGTTCCTAATACTCCTTATAAAGAGTGGCACACAGGGAAAAAATGCAAATGAAAGCCACAGACTATCGCAAATAAGAGTGAAAGACTCGCAGAAGTGATACAATATTAAAAAAATTGGTCGTCACCATAACACGCTGGTTCGCTGTATTTTGCTTCAAAATGTTAGAAACTTACTGCTAGAACATTCAAGCCAGAAATTCTTAATTTATCTTTTGCGACTTATAAAAAATGGCTGCACGGATCTCTATTCAATGCATACAGGGTGTTTGAAAAGCTTGTGACCTCAAGTAATTCAACTGCGAATCCTAACTCATTTTTTGCTATATGTGTCGCTAAACCTAGAAACCACTGGATCAACAAAGAAAATTTTTTTTGCTTCAAGATACCTTAAAAAGTTGGAAGCAAACAAATTTTTTAGCTTCTTTGAAGAGGCGGAAGAGTGCGTTATCTGAGTTGTTCTACTTGTTTTACGCTGGAAAACGGTGACAGCTTTCCGTTTTTACTACAAATACATAGTCCTAAGTTTGCAATATCTTTATATAACAAAAGTTCCTCAGCAGTTTGTACAAAAAATTTTCATGTGCTAAATTACAGCAAACAATCGCGGCACAAACTTGCGTAGAAATTTTTCGGTTCAAAAAATTTTAGAAGTCTTTTTCAACATGTATTTGTAGCGCAGCTCTCTGATCTTCATTCCATTAGTTTTCAAAAATTTTGTACGCTTGTGAAGGTTTTAAAGATGATTTATAAAAATCTTGGTGCTGATTTTGTTGACAAAAAAGTCTTGAAAGTGGATCTCTAGTATCTCCAGGCACAGTATTTCAAAACGGACTTGCTTCTACGAAAACAAAAGCACATGTAAGAAACCTTAAAGAAAGGCTTTTAGAAGGTATACCAAGTTTTCTGTGAATTATGTTTTCTTCTTTGTAACAAGCGTTCAAGGAAAGTGGTTTGGAAAGTTATGTTGATGTATTTCAGTCTAATAAAAAAAAACTAAAAAACTACAATATAACCTGGTCTTACTGAAATGGCATCTAGGTGATGAGCACTGTAGTATAAAAAGCGCGTCAAAATTCGAATTGGAAGTACTTCAACGCTTACTTTCCAAACACCCTGTACGAACATCGAGTATGTAACGTAGGCTATAACGTAGGCTAAGATACAAAAGTATACTACCAAGCTTCGCACTTCCAACAAATTTGACCTTAGGAGATCAAAAAATGTCTTTTTTATGAACTGATTTCAAAACTAATTAAAAATGCGAAAATCAAGTTATACATGGTACCTTTACAGATCAACATACTTATTAATAAATGTCAGTGGAGATTGCGATATAAGACAACCACAATTTTCATTTAGCTTATTTATTGATAACCCGAAAATTCGATAGTTCGATATCATGTAATAAGCTATCACACAATTATATCAGGGCGCGGGTGACTTTATTACCAACAAAAAGTAAAAGTATTGTAGCTGATACTACTTCAGATCAAAATGAGGCATGGATACATCAAGCCAATGCAAATGTTCGCGTAATATAATCCAGTAAGTTTTCTAAGCTGAACCTAGATCAATGTTTGCGTAGAAAAATACGAAAAGGTTTAAGAACAGTTAATCAAGTGCAAATCTGCTAAAAAAAATTGTAAAATCTTTTACGCAAAAGTATCCATACACACATGTGGCAGATATTGATCTCGCATGGAAATGCAAAAACGAAAATTTGTAAAAATATACTTTGCAGGATATCTTAATACCGCTTTCCAGCAGAAGCACCAATTCAATGTCCAAAAAATGTAGCAGCATCTTATATGCGTAGTAAGTCGATTTTCTTGTATCAAGTTATAATTTCGAAGAAAAGGTAATCGACTTTTTTTTCACAAAACGACCTCTTTCAAGGAATTTTGCTTTCATTTTTGCGCGAGAGCGACACTTCAATAGAATTTGAAGTCTTGTTTTGAGGCTCGTTTCTCTGGGCCTAGTTAACGCATACTTGCGTTCAGATAAATCATATAAAGCTCAAACTTTTTTCTGTTCACAAAAAAAAGCCATGAATTCGGGTTTAGGAGGGTAGTTACTGAATTTCTTTGCATCATGCCGGATATTGCATCAATCTTACGGAATGTCCAAGACGGACTCGGTAGCAGTGCTTATGATGGGAAGCTGTAATTCTCAAGTGCACTTTCTAAAAGCGTCCATCATGGATAAAAGATGAAAGATTACTTAGATGGACTAAAATATTCAAATTTTTACTAGAAGTATGAAATTGGTAATTTTTTCGCAACATAGTGACCATAGCAAGACTTTCAGCATGTGCAAAAAAACAACAACATATAGGTCTGACTGCTTATGAATAAAAAATGTAAAGGAATCAGTCGGGAAGTTTTACTTCAATGTGTGACAAATGTTTCGTAGACATCGACGAACAGCGGTCTTATCACGAGTGCATTCTGACAGATGTGACTCAGCATGAGAGAGTGAATCTGTTAGATAAAGCTGTTTGTTGTGACAGAGAGCACGTAAACTTAGGTGTTCTGCCCTGGTTATAATTAACCATCTGACGGTCCCAGAAATTCGTCCGGGGTAGGGAGGGGGGTGGGGCAGAGGCAACAAGAGTTTTTTGGATAGAGGTGCGTGGCGTTAGCCATGCGTGTCGAGAATCTTTCGGGATACTTCAAGATTTTGCTAGATCCTAACCCCGAAAATTTAGGAGTTGTAGTCGGAGAATGGCGCCCGCAGCGCCCCCGAAGAAGATTTTTTGCAAGTTGATTGGAATTTTCAAAAGTATTGAAATCACTTTATTTTTACAGATAAAAAAGGAGTCAGCACAATTTTATAGTGCATTTAAGCAACTTAAAATTTCGCAACCTATTCTCAAATCTCTCCACTCCCCCTTCCCTTTCGGTCCCCTCTGAAAACAACCTAACATCAGCTGTCCAACACTGAAAACACTAATACGTTTTCTCTCTGCGAGAAATGCCTAGCTTTATATTTACGCGTTCTTGCGCAAACTACTGAAACTCGTATGTCAATGGATTTGCGTATATGTGTGCGGTAATTTTAGATTCAGTATCACAACGCCAAAGATATGAGCTATGGGACGGTATTACTGCATTAAAAATCCAGCAAAGGCATCGACACTTAAGCTTAATTTACAGAATACTGAAACTAGCCGCAACTCAACTCAGAAATTTTGCAGCTTAGAAATCACCAGGAAAGTACTACCGGCCATCACATTAAGTTAGGCTGATATGAGCTGTATTTTTTATTACCAACTGACAGCCACTGATTTAGTCTAGTGGATGCGAACCTCACTAGCGAGTAGTCGAAGTTTATATTGGATTTACTATTACAAACTTAAAAATTTTAAAAAAAAATTCAATTTTTAAATTATATGATATCAGAATATCAGAACGGAATGACTCTCTTTACCAAAAAAAAGGGTATAGCGATAGTAACTAATTTCTTCGTCTAGGCATTCTCTCATGTGTGTTCCCATTTTTCTCGTAGGCGAAAAAATGTGCTCAAACTTTCTCCAAAAATTGGGTAACTAAACCTCGTATATGGATATAGACATGGTCCCTGTCGCCGCTGACGCCTGCAAGGACTGCATCTACAGCTAGAACATAACACTAAGAAATGTACTGCCGCTCTCAATTGCGCGACTGAATTCGGTCAAAGCGCACTGAGACCGTTGGTGGGCCATCCTTGTGGCCGACCCGCCCCTCCGCTAAGAGCCCCGCTTCCTCCGCTAACCTTTAGAGCATCTTTTCATGCACGAAGTGCGTGAAAAAGACCTTAGGTGACTGCGGGACCTTCGTAGACTCCAAACTTGGGCCTCCTTTCTGAGGCAAGCTCCGCCCACTCAAACAGAAGGCCCGCAGAAGGCCCGCTCTTCTAGGACATACATGAATCTTAAAGTTTAACGTCTTGGTTAGAAGCCAATCAACCACAAAATAAAAGAGAGATTTCTACTTTCCAATCTTATGGACGTATAGCTTTAGCCGATAGAATAATACATTTCATGGGAAATCAGAGACTTCTAACTTATATCACTTGCATCAGTCATTTCAGATGCGTAAATTTAGATGGAACTTGTCTTCAATAAAACAGTCTTGTCAACTTGTTGTTGAGAAAAGTCTTGAAAGCGAGGTGCATTTTTAATTTGTGATGTTAAATACTGTAATTCAATGAGAACATTCACAATGCGCCAGTGAATGGATTAGACTGAAATGATCTAAGTGACTGTCAAATTGCGACGTACGGTAGACAGTGTATGTGTGATATGCACCGAAATTTAGATGGGTTGAGATCTTGAGCAAATTTTAGTTTGCAAAACGAGCTAATAATCGAAGTTCATGACAGCAGTCCTCAACAATTTGTTGATAGAATAGAGGCTTATTGAAGCCTTTTACGAACAGAATCCGGATTTGATTGTCCATCTACTTTTGCCTGCATTTGTCAATCATATGCCAGAACCGAAACCAAAGTTTGAATCACTCTTGCATTCTTCAGAGCGTTTATTGAGGTGACTCGTGTAACCAAGCTACTGGTGTCCAATGTTTTCAGAAACACAAATCAATAATTTTTGATTCGTGAAGGATTCTTAACGTTACGCGTTATCCATCGCATCTGAATTATATTTTCAAATGTAAGATACACTTTCTTGGTTCCACTAGCATTTTGAGAGGGATTAGGGACACAGGTGCAAGCCAGCAACTTTTCTTCATGAATGAACAGCTGGCAGTGCACTTTATGGGAGAAATGTTCTCTGCAAATTCTTTGGGTTTCTGCAGTTGTATAGCAGCTTGTGGAGTGACGACGCAGCATTTTAACTTCAAGCATCGATGAAACAAACGTGCAAGTACGCGCGAAAACCCTCCGCTGCGGCAAGTAAAAAACTGCCTTCGCTTTGCTACTAGTGCAGAATACTTTCTTCACAAAATCTCGCATATTTTGTAAACTTGTGGGCATTAACAAAAACATGCTTTATTGGACGTGTTGAGGAGTCTTGTAGATCTTCACTTCACGGATTTCATGCCCTTAATATAGATAATTTTCATTGTGAACCAAAATATCACATCAGCATATGGAACAAACTTGCTCGCTCTGAAAGTACAGATTATACTTACCCTTAGTGAAATTTCAATTTGAATTTATCTAGGATCTCCTCCTCCATGCTCGGACCTGTAGAATGCATAGCTTATATGGATCCCTCGTAAATTTCGTATTAAAGTGCGTAAATTCGCTGAGAACTTACCCCCCAAATGGCCCGTACCTCTAGCACTGACATTGCTCTGACCATAACTCATTTTCCTCTGACCATTATAACCCAAATTGCTCCAACCATTATAACCGGCAATGCTCTGACCATTATAACCCAGATTGCGCTGGCCATTATAACCCGCACTGCTCCGGCCATTATAACCCACACTGCTCCGACCATTATAACCCAGATTGCTCTGGCCATTGTAACCCGCATTGCTCTGGCCATTATAACCCACATTGCTCCGACCATTATAACCCAGATTGCTCTGACCATTGTAACCCGCACTGCTCTGACCATAATAACCCACATTGATCCGACCATTATAACCCGGATTGCTTTGACCATTATAACCCCACCCTCTCATCCCTATTTGTGGGTGAGGGTAAGGATTCAGATAATCTCCGCCATATACTGAAAATTTGCTTGCAGATTGTATAGATTGAATGAAAAAATCAACCGAGCAGCCGGAATTTTGTGTAAGTGCACTGAAAAACTTTGAAAAATTTGAAAATGAAATGTACCTCGACTCTGTTCGGACCTTTGTCTACCGAAGGCTTCTTCTAACGTCAGATATTGTATATTGTAGAGCCGCTTAAAGTCGTTTTGTTTTCCTTTTCCTTAAGATGCTCAGCGTGTAGATTTTGGAAATAGGCAAGGCAATGATAAACGTCATTATCTGTTCATTATCTCTTAGGTTATAGCAATAAACTCCATTTTCAAATAAATTGAGCTGTTTTTGTTTTTCTAACAGACTTGGGTACCATTCTATAAAGCGGAACAAGCTCTACAAAAATGCTACCAAGGATCCACCTAAGCCTTAATCCAGGCAAAATTTGAAGCCAAAAATCAGAAATTTTCAGCTATTCTAAAAATCGAATTTCCTTCCAGAAAATCTTTACGGATTTCTGGTTTGGTCCTTATGTAGTAGATACATAGTAGTATACACAACGTAGTTTTTCCGAGGCTTAAAATTGAGAAACAAGGATGGCCCGAAAATGCTAAAATGTTTTTTTTGTTTTTCTCACGTAAAACTTGGCATTTTCCGGTCATAAGAGCGCTAAGGGGTAACGTTTTGAGATCATACATAGTATGGCTTGTAGTATACAATGACATATCTGAAGAGGCTGGGACGGAGTTTGCCATTACCTTTTTTTCCCGCTTTCTATGCGAGGAAAAAATCCAGTAAAGGCATGCTTAAGTACTACTATGTTTCTACTGCATAATGAACAACCTGGAGGCTTGTAGGGTTTCTCCTCTCAAAATCCAAATGTTAGGTGAGGAAATTTCTTTCGATGTTGGCTTTGAACTCAACAAGGAATGTGAGTTGAGCGGACCCTTGATGATCGTTTGTAGAACTTGTATCGAATGAATCCCGAAGCTTACTAGAAGACAAAAGCAGCTTGAATTATTTGAAAACGGAGTTTATTTATGGGGCAACCTAATATATAGAACATTGCGTAGTACTTTCTTTTTTTTGTTTTTTCTTGAGTGGGCTTGCCAGCTATAGCTCTACCACACTTCTTTTTTTTATAATCAGAATTAGAATACTACAAATATTATAAAGTGAAACAAAGAGGCGTAAAGAACTACCTTTTGCAGTGCTACCTTTTGCAAGAGTAAGGGATACGACAACGGCGAGCGCAAAAAGTCGGAACCACATTTTGTGCTTGAAGCAGTCGTCACAAGCGGAAATGTAATGGGAAAATATGATAATAACAGCAGAGTTGAAATTTATGGCCAATTTTTTTCACCTTCTTTGAATACGCTTTCATTGTATTTTTCCTGCCAAATTGCGCTAGCTTAGAATTGTAAATGTGTGGTGATTTCTTTAGAAAATGCTAACGATGGCGCAAGCACCTTTCAAGCAACAATGTAACCTTATAGTAATTCTCATGCATAATGCTTCGATGCTGATTATATTGCTGTAGACGAATTCGATTGCGGCGAAATAATTCTGGACTCATTGGCTATTCAATACGAATAATCTTATTTGGCTGACTGTATCGTTGATATGTATGTTCCCGTTAATGTAAAATGCAAACGTTTGACCTCCGGCCGAAGTAAGGAATGATCCAGAGTTATTCAGAATCTCATTCCCCTGTTGTGTAGCAGTAAAGCCTTTCAAGTTTGCATAAATTCAAACTAGGAGATATGACACACAAGGTATTACATAGAGTGTGTCCAGAAAATGTACACACTGTATACTTATAATAATCCTTGCAATGGTGTCTTTCGTCAACGTTTGGCTACCATTAGAGCTAACTTCAACTAAGATTCAAAGGATGGAGCAAATCATCGATCGCTCTTCGTCATTGTAGGATTACCGTAGAAACTTCAAGCATACACACTGAGGGATAGGTCGCCTGACAAAATTCTTTTCGAGAAAGTTGAGAAGGGAAAGGGTTTTTGCACCCGCTGATATCACTAAACCGACGAGTTTTCTGGGCTATTCTAGGGTTGTAATCACATTTCTGATGAGCATCGAAGAAAGCTGTTACGGTCACTAGCTTAGAAAAGGAAAATAGCGTCACAGTAAAGTGGAAATCAATTCGAAATCAGCGACCTTGAGTTTGTCTAACGTAAGAATTTTTAGCTTTGGTTTCGAAGCAAGATAGGGCTTTCAATGGGCCTAAAATTTTCATCACTTTACCGTAATCCTACAGCGATGAGGTACGGTAATTGATTTGCTCTATATGGGTGGAAGTTGAGGCCATCTCCAGGGCTCGGCACAGGTGACTTTTAAATAAGCTGGATCATGAAATTATGCAAGGTAAAATTTATCTAAACCTGACAACAGCTGCGAGAAAGTTGGGGTGCAAAACATTATCAGAATGTAATTTTGGAAAATCTTTGAACCTGAAAAATCTTAACACAAACGTATCCTTTCGGTGTAGTCTTATGATACATTTTTGCTCTCTAAAATCTAGATCTAGAACATTCAGTATCAGGAGAAATCTTTTTTCAACTGTCAATGGTGGAAAAACAGAAAATTCCAAATAATGCAAATTTTTGCCACCTTGAGAGATCTGCTAGGCAAATTTTTTCGAATTTTTCGAGATTTTTGGCAATTTTTGCTGAGACGACCATTGGCTTTACGATGAGCGAAGCCCGTAAAATATTATTGTATTCCAGAACAAGTTATAACAATCAAAGTAGGAGTTTCCAAGAAAAGTGTTCGGCGGTTTTAGGGCAAGAAGAATTTTTGGTACTTTTCCATTATTTGGACCTATTTTCCAAAATATTTTCATGATATATGTGTTTCACACTAGGAAATTTCTTCCATAGGTTCATGAAGACTGTCTCGTTGTGTGAAGATAAAAATTCCCTCGTAGTTTCCACAGGCATCTATCCTGAGCGAATGCCAACAATTCTCAAAACGCGAAAAATCGGGACATTTCTCTGGTTTTCTGATGATTTCCGTTTTTATGCTTTCTCAGTCTCTTTCCTTTTTTGTTCTTTCTTCTACATTCTCCTTGTGATGAGAAAAACTGCGAGCTCGAAGTAGGCTTGAAGAAAGAACGCTATCTGTATGTTCCAGATACATGAAGCAAAACAACGTTAGTTCTTCAATCGCGTTTCAAGTTCGCAACTTTTTTTCATCACGCGGAGAACAGGATATTGGAATGAGAAAATGAGAAGAACGTTGAAAACGGTCAAAAATCTCTAACTTCCGCCACTCACAATCAGAACAGCACGCGGGCGGCTGCAACGCATGCAGCACAGTTCCAACAGTCCCCGCACACAGTGGGGGGACTGTGCTGAAATTCTTCTGGAACTTCTAAATCAGTAAGAACCCAGCCTAACATGTGCACGATAAAGCAAAACCCCAAGCAGGTTTACCAAAAAGAACTCGAACGAATTTTAGTCGATTTGTATGGTGCCCAGCACTATACAAGCGACGTCTCATCGCTTCTTACCCTTCGGCAACGGACTCGACAGTAACAAATTGATTTTTGCTAAGCTTCATCATCCGAAATTAACTTATCGCCCCAGGGTTTTGTGTTCTGTCATACATCAGCTAAATATATTTGAGCACCCATTTGCAATCTAGTATACTATTCAACCATCAAAATGTGTATCAAACAAAAAATTACATTTGAACTTTTGCATCTTGAGCTATATGACTCACAGAAAGCTTAGCTCAAGTCCAATAAAGTTGAACTCAATGTGTTAAGTTCAAAAAAATTGTGAAAGACACAAAGGCTAAAGATTTACCTGAGTCACTGTCCTTCCTGCCAGCCGTTGCAAAACACTCGAGCTGTACGCTTAAAAATGCCGAGTTATTGTGACGCGTATGCGTCGGTGTAACGAAAAAGGAGCTTGGCTGATGCAACCTTAACTTGCAGGTTGAAGACACTAGTGGCCAACTTAAAGGCAGTGGCTCGGCAAATTTCAACCAAGTCAAATTTGCACTTGCCTGGGGTTTTTCAATAAGCTGATCCCGATAATCCACTTTTGAAAGCTTGAAAACGGCGAAAATAAGCGTTTTTTAATGCCCTTCCCTTTGGAATTGGACGAGTGGAGCAAGGCCGATAACACTAAATCGTGGCAGGACCCAATAGTTATAGCGTTGCGGCGAGCAGCCTTCAAGGGTGAGAAGGAACTTGCCAACTCGTCCAGATGCGTGTAAGATTGAGAGCGATTTTCTCGGCAGGGAAAGCATGCTGTGCAACCGGGATTGCAGTGTTTTCATACTTGAGCGATAAGGAACCTACCGCGTTAGAATCTTGAGTTGTTGTATTTTGCCGATCCACTGCCTTTAATTCAGCTTGTTCGCTCCTCTGGGCTTATCCGCATACGGTTGATGCGGAAAACCCTCGCAAAGCACAAAAACTGTTAAATTAGACTTTTTCCAAAGTCTTATACAATACGTTCTATGACTATATGCTCACCGAAATTTGCTATTCCCGGATTTACAAAAGAGATTGAACACAGTCACTGCCTTTGTGATCTACATATAATACTGAATAAGATGATATCTCACAATATTCCTCGGTTCCTATAATACATTTAAACCCTTGTCTAATCTTTCAGTGTTTCAGAACTACGCAACACCTTTGAACGGGGTGCTTTTTCGAACAAGGGAAGGATACTTGAAAGCAGTGACGATTGCGTAAGGGGCGTAAGCCGCGTATACCGTCCCCAGACGGTGATCTCTAAACCGCAATCCATATCTGCTATGACGTCATTCTGGAGGAGTTGTAAAGGATTTTTATTGCAGTGGATAGTGGCTTGGACTGCAAAGATGGACGTCCTGGGTTCGATTCCTCTGTGATGCCACCCATTTTGCATTTTTGTAAATTTTAGCAGGCAAGTTGCAAAACCTGTCGACATAAAAAAAAAGTTGATTTTCACAATATGAAGCAATATATTTACATTTATTGGCACTGAACCACCGCCTAACCTAAAACACTCGTTTCGAGCCTTTTTCATTAAATTCATTCATTGAATTCATTCATTCATTCATTTCATTGAAGACGTCATTTTAGGTTAGTTTCTCCTCTCTATGTTAAGCACGAATTCGGAATTTTTCAATGTAAAATTGAGTAAAGTATTCTATGAGAAAGGCTAAAAACGAGTGTGTTTAGGTTAGACGGTGTTTCCGTGCCAATAAATGTAAATATATTGCTTCATATTGTGAAAATCAACTTTTTTTGATGTCGACAGGTTTTGCAACTTGCCTGCTAAAATTTACAAAAATGCAAAATGGGTGGCATCCCAGAGGAATCGAACCCAGGACGTCCAGCTTTGCAGTCCAAGCCACTATCCACTGCAATAAAAATCCTTTACAACTCCTCCAGAATGACGTCATAGCAGATATGGAATGCGGTTTAGAGATCATCGTCTGTGGACGGTATACGCGGTATACACCGCTTACTCAACCGTCACTGCGATCAAGTATCCTTCCCCTATAAGGAAAAGACGCAAAACAGGATTTTGATAACGGGTCGGGCCACTGGGCCCTACCACTTCACCTAGGTTGGACATGTTTTTAACAAATTCATGCATGTCTCCGTTTCAGTCTTGTCATAAGCGTCTATAACGAGCTACTTTAACTACTGTTAATACTGCTTGTGTCTGCATAGAAACGCTGTGCCAGATTCTGCAGAAAATGTCTGAAGGATTCAGGACAGGACACCATGACGACCTTTACAGAAGTGCTCGCGATGTTGGCGGAGCGGAGTTCAGTGACCCGCGTGCATGTTTATATACCTTGCACAGCTGTGAGTAGTGCTGCCACCGATACTCGTAAAATGAGAACAGCCACTCGCTTCCCAGTACTCTTGGCAAGCTGCGTCAAAATTTCTTTCTTTAAATTTCAGACTTTTGAATTACGCAAATACTCCTAGACTATGGAAAAAAACCTACACTAAAGTTTCTATTGCTTAAATGATATGGACTCCATTCAAATCGGCAGACTCGATCTTCTAACCGTCACAGTCGTCTGAGCCAATTTTTCTACACCTCCCAAATCATCTACTCATTCTTTATGTCATCTTCTCAGCAATGCGCCTGTAACAGCACAGTGCACATGGACACGCACGCGGGTCAATTACCGCCGTTCTCAGCCAGCATCGCGAGCAGCTTCTTGTAAATTCCATCATACTGTTTTGTCCTATCTTCAGAAAATGTGTGGAAAATATTGGCACTGCGTTCTTAAACGAAAACAAGCAGTATGAGGCCTTGGGAAAGTTGAAGCAGTTGTTAGAGATGCATGTGACAACACTGAACCAGAGCATGCATGAAATTG